CCAGGCAGGCCTGAGAGTGGGGTGGAAAGAGAGCCTTCTCGGTGGACACTTAGTGAAAGGAGGGGTACAGCCCCACCTCAGGGGACCCAGCAGACTGTGGTCCCCACCTGCTTCCCAACCCGGCTCCCTCCTGTGGCGGAGAGAGAGGGCCCTGGGTCTGGCCGAGAAGAGCAGGACACGCGTCCTCAGAAGGCAGGGTGGCAGGACATGAGGACACCAGCAGGACACAGAGGAGGCGGCCGGCGCACAGTGACCGTGCCAAGAGCTGGGTCCTTCTGGAGGTGGGACCCCAGGCCACCACAGCCGTGTGAGTGAGCAGAGGCCTCAGGTGGATACCTCACCCATGAACTTGGGACTTCCCGAGTCCACCAGAAGCCTCCACCAATGTGTCACCCTGAGATCTGAGGTGCACCTGGCCCAACCATGGTGTTTTCAATCACCCCATCTGCCTGGGAAAGCAGGATCATGGAGCCCCCCCACCCCCACTCCAACTGAAACTTATAAATTGTGATATCGGTGAGAAATATCGAAAGCACCACCCACAGCCAAAAGAACAAACAACCCCGTCTTGGAAGAAGTCCGCCAGAGTGCTCCTTAGAAGGGAGGGTGCAAGACCCCGTGTCACGTTATCCGGGCTGTTATCAGCAGAGACCAGTCCCTGGAGAGGGACCACAGGCTTGGTGAACCAGAGAGTTGTCGAGAAAGAGGGTGGCCTTCAATGAGCTGCGTGGGCCTGGTGGCTACGAAAGGGGGTCTCAAAGATAGGAAGCAACGACTGTGTGATGCTGGAGGACTGGAGTCTCAGTCTTTTGTCTGTAGGGTCTCTGTGAATCAGAACCAACCCAACAGTACCTAAGGGGTACACAGAGTCCCTGTGCCCAGAAAGAATTGGGTGGCATTCAGCCATCGTAAGTGTTGGCATGCGGTCCGGAGCCAATGGGACCCAAGGAAGAAGTCCAAGCTACACTAGAGGCCCTCATGCAAAGCAGAGCTGCAGCAATGGACCAACCCCCCAACAAAGGAAGATAAAAACTCACTCCCACAGAGTGATGCCAACTCTTGGTCACCCAAACTGCCCCCACAAGTTTCCGAGACTGTAATACTTCAGGGGAGTAGAAAGCCCCATCTTTCACCCGTAGAGCCGCTGGTGGTTTCGAACTGTGGACCTTGCCGTTGGCAGCCCAGCGCATAACCACCGTGCCACCAGAGTCCCAGGAACTGACAGGAAGCTCATGAAAATGTTTCAAGAAGCTGATGAAGTGCTGGAAAGCACTCGCTTGTCCCTGCCAAGAAATTTGAAAGACAGCACCCTGGACTAGAATAGACTAGAAGGGATCCTTACTTGTACCCCTTCTCTAAAAAAGCGGCCCTACAGAATGTGGAAATCATCTAACAAGATGATTGATATCACAAGCAAGTAGAATTTTGCTGAAGATCATTCAACAACTCCTGTAGCAGTGCATTGACAAATAGCTGCCAGATTCAGACGAGGACATGGAACAGCGGATGCCATCGCTGATGTCAGATGGCTCTTGGCTGAAAGCAGAGAACACCAGAAAGATGGTGACTTATGTTTCACTGTCTATGCCAAGGCATTCAGCTGTGTGGCACACAGAAAGCTATGCACAGCCTTGAGAAGAACGGGAATTCCAGAACACTTCGTCATGCTGATACAGAAACGGCAGTGGTCTGGACCAAATATGAGACTGTCGCATGGTTTAAAGTTCTATCCTCCGGCCATACTGGCAGGCTGAGCAAACAGAGAAGCTGGACAATCTAAGAAAGCCCACAGCATCGGGATTGGAGGAAGGCTGATTCACAACCCGCCTTCTGCAGGGGACACAGCTGAGCCTGCTGAAAGCAAGGAGGTCTTGAAGCACTTACTGGCGAACACCAAAGATGGTGGCCTGCAGGATGGATTACAACTCACCGGAAACCAAAAGCCTTACAACTGGGTCCATCGGTGACACCCTGATCGATGGAGAAAAGGCTGGAGTTGTCAAGGATTTTTGTCTTGCTCAGATCTATACCCAATGCTCATGGAAGCAGCCATCAAGAATCAAATAACATGTTGCATTGGGTAAATCCACCACACAAGACTTCTTTATGGTGAAGAGCAAGGATGTCGCTTCGAGGACCAAGCTGTGCCGGACGCAAGCCGTGGTGTTGTCAATGGCCCCTGTGCATGTGACAGGTGTACACCGAGTAAGGAAGACTGAAGGGGGATCTCGGCATCTGAGTCATGGTGCTGGCGAAGAATATTTAAAGTGTCATGGCCTTTGTGTCAGTCTGGGTGGACTAGAGATACAAATTCATAGACGCTCATATGAGTATAAGAAAGAGCTTTCTACCAAAGATCAGAGATTTCTACCGAAGATTAAGAAAACAAAGCCAGCCATTGATTCTGCTTACTTGAATGTGTTTTTGCAGAAATTTAGAAAAAGCTG